CCCCCCTTCCCCATACTCCAAAGCGAGCGGACGCCCAATCGCGCGATTAAACCGTGAGTCTCTGCTGAGCTCAGCTGCTGAGCGGGGCCACGGATTAATCCCCCAAAATTCGAGGATCAAAAGGGTTACAAAAGCATAAACCCTAGAAATTAGGCCTGGATTAACCTGCTGCCATTTATAAACTCAGGCTTTACCACAAGGCCTCGTCTCATTTGGGGTCTTTCAGGCCCAAGCTGCTTCTGGAAGTGCCCTGAGCAAACAGCTCAGCACAAAGGACCAGAGTCCCTTCTCTGGGGCATCTCTGCTGGAACAAATCTGAAATATTTCTAATTCTCCCCTAACAAAGAAACATCTCTCCATTTTTCCGCTTTTAAAGCCTAAAGCCAGTTGTTTCTTCAAAACGGTTTCCTCCTGGAGGCTGCCTAAAACTTTTCCTGAACCTAAAAATTCTTTGGCACCTCATCCCAAAGCTCAGGGGGCTGCCTTTGCCCTCCCCAGCACAGGCAATTCCTTCCCGGAGCCCCCCAAAGCCTTTGAGCATCACCCCAACCCACCCACTTGCAGAAATCAGCTGAGCATTCAGGAGTGCAGGACAGCAAAGATACAACCTGAGAGCAGCAGGGAAGAGTTTTTATCTGGGAGTTTCTAGCTAATTTAAGTATTTCGGACTCAGCTGACTCCAATAAACACCAAATACAATCAACTAATGGTGGAACCACCAGTTCAGGGCTGGAACTGCAGATGGTAGAGCTGCTTCCAAGAGCTAAACAGATCCTTTTCAGTAAGGAGGGCAGGTTTTAAGGAGAAAACAGCCCGCTCTGCTCCCCCAGGAGCTGAGTCCTTTTTTGCACCACAGACTAGCGTGAGCTCACCCAGCCCACAAGCAGAGCCACGGAGCTGATCACAGATGTGAAACCTTATGGTCAGAATTTAAATAAAATCCCAAGAATCGGTATGTGCACGCAGAGCTCGGAGGGGCTGCGCGTTACCCTCGGTGCTCTGGTGGAGGAGAGGCTGCCAGAAGAGCTGCAAAAGCCCTCGGCGAGGCCCAGGCTGGTGCCCAGGGTGTGGTTTAACGGTGAATCCAGCCTTACAGGACTGGAGTAGGGGGAGGAGCTCAGCTGCCTCCCCCTCCGGGGCCTAACCTTCAATTTCTTCCCAGCCCGCCGGTGGGTGAAACTCATGGTTTCTACACTTCTTTTTACAGTAACGGCACGCTTTTTCACAAGCCCAGTCTCTGCTCTGGGATGAGGGGGGTCAGGACCATCTGCCTGAGCTGCGGAGGGTGAAGCCCACAGACTCCCCAAAGCGCTGGGGCAGAGCCTGGGGCTCGCCGCCACACCTGGGACCACCAGCAGCTGCTGTGCCCCTGGGGCAGGTCGTCGGTACCGGCCTCGGGGCAGAGGTGGCCCTGACAGTTCAATTCTGGTGTTTGAGGGACTGACAAAGGGAAACAGGGACAGAAGATGGGCAGCGGAATGAGGAAGGGATTGGACAGCATCTTACAACGAAAAAGAGCTTTTTAAACATAAACCCATGAAAACAAGAGACCGGAAAGATGTTTTCTAACCCTGGAAGCCCTGAGGCTCAAGCCCCTCTTTTTACCAGAATGGGAAGGGTAGAAAACCCAAGTGCTTGGGAAGAGCTTGGCTGCAGGAACTCAACCGCTGCCCCAAGTCCACGAGGAGCTCACGCTTCACGTCGTGCTTCACAAGCCCCAGCGCTGCCGAAGAGCCGCTTTGCGTGGCACGGCGGGGCCCCGTGGCGCAGCCCACGAGTAGCTCAGCCCACCCCGAGCCCCCCTCATCGACCCTGAGCCCCCTCCACAGCCCAGTCACTGGGCGGGGGGTTCCGGTGCTGCCTGTGCTTTTCTAGATCCAGTTCTCATTCCACAATTAATATTGGTTAGAGGTTAAACTTGGGTCTAAAATACATCAGGGATGTCTGTGCCCAGAAGTCCCGTATCCTCCCACAGAGGCCTGAGCACTGTTGGGGATCAGGTCTGAGTGCCGCCAGCAAAATTAAATATTTTGTTGTTGGTTTTGAAGTGCCGCAGCTTCACTGAACACCTCGGGACCGAAAGCCACGAGAGCGCTGACGCATCCTAAAGCAAACCAGCAGCCATCAGAGAGGAGCTGGGCTGAAACACCAGCCTGTGAACAGCTGGATGGCAAAGGGGACTCGTTTCATCTCAGAGGATCTGAAGAGAAGCAGCAGCTGGTAGGTTTTACCTCTCTTTGGAGAGTGACGCCTTTGCTAGACCCGGGCCCGCTGCAGGAGGCACGAGATGAGGAACAGAGAGAACTCGGGTTTGTCACAACTTCCCTGCCACCTTTTGTGGAGACCGTCAGTGAGGGCTGGTACCCCCAGCCACGGGGAGAACGGCCTCCAGAGGCCCCTCTGCACCTAAACTAGACGTTCCTATGAGTATCATCATGGAAAACCAACCAGAAATCAGCAGCTGCTGCTCCTCCGCTGATCAAAAAACCCAACAAATGGGCCCAAAATGAGCCTCTGACCTTCCGACGGCGCCCTGTCACGAGACCGGCAGGTCGCCCCTTTCCTTCCTGCCCCCGCGGTGGAACAGGAACCTTCCCACCTCGGTGCCATGGGACTTCCCTCACCTCGAGCAGCGTGAACCACCCCCGGGGAATGCAGCCAAGCAGAAAACGCAGCCCGGAATAGGTGCGTGTGTCACTAAAGCTGTGTTTGAGGGGGAAAAAAAAAAAAAAAAAAAAAAGAGGAAAAAGTTGTGACACAGCGAGCAGTTGGCAAGCTGAGGGTTGCAGAGATGGTTAATGCATTCCTGTAGATACGAGTCAAATAAAAACTGGTTCCACATGTGCTCTGTTATTCAACAGATCAATAACAGAGACGCAGGTGACTCTTACAAGGAGGTAGAAAAATTATAGAGCTATAAAGAAAACCACAAATGTGATTTAAAGGGTGAAAGTACATTTGTGAGAAAGCCTTTAACAGGCAATCTCTGACACCTAATCTAACGAGCTCATCAAAAGTTACCAAGGGGTGGTTTGATTAATTAGAAGGAGGAAAACTAGAGTCTTCAGAGTAGGAAAAAAGGCTCTTTGATTTGGCAGAGAAATGCATCAGAAAACTAAAATCAATGCTGGACACAGCCTAGAGGATGCGATTACATCACAAAGCAGCTCAGCTCGCTCCAGAAGATAAGCTGGGCTTAGCTGAGCAGGGCATTTCGGCCTAAGCAGAGGCCAGCGGGTGCAAATTTGTCTCGGTGGCTGGTTGGGAAGGGGCAGCGGGTGCTGGACAAGCCGCCTCCTTTGACTTCCTGCAGCGTTTCCCATGGGGCAGAGGGGAATGTCACGGGACTCTCCTGCCTCACCAAGAATTTACATTTCATTAATTAAGGACCAGAGGAAACTGGGTTTTGTGCTCAGCTCCTAGGCCCAGGGTCCCAGAGCAGTGGGGGCAGCACAGGTGAGCCCCGCTCAAACCCCTCCTGCATTAAAGCTCCACACTCCGGAATCCAACGCTCCTGTTTAAAACCAGACCTTGGACAAATCCAAACCGAGAATCCGTGGGTTTCCAGAACAATTTATTTATCTAAGTCAGGTCCTCTGATAGCAGTAGTGTATACGTTGTGATAAACTGACGCTGAGAAGATTTAACAATTTCTTCATTTAATAAGTGATTTTTCACTACATGGTATTTGTACACTGTTATCCGTTCAAAAAAGATTAACAGTTTTTAAAAAACAAGATTCTGTGAGAGATTTATATAAACCGGTGATCAAGATCACCTCTGGTTGGCTTATCAAGCTATTTTCTAGGCTTCTTTGTAGAACAAAGTCTTTAGGCTAAAATGCACAAAACCATTCAGGAAGATCTAGAACCATTTGCGTAACGTCCAGCTTTCTGCCGCAGGACTGATGCCACTGCGAAACGGTCCACTTGATCGAACAGACGGAAACTGTACAAAAATGTGTTTACTTTTTGACCAGGAATAGAACAAACAGCACAGCATTTCTACTTGCTATTTTGAGTCAGGACTTCCTTTTATCTCCAGGAGGAAGGCGTGAACGGAGAGCTCTGCCAACTCAGTGTGGTGGGTCGTGTACGAACAGTTTTCTAAGCGAACTTTGGCTTCAGGAAAGAGACACAAACACTTAAAATAATGGCTTTAATTGTCATTTGATGTATACGGAGCAGGATGCGTGTCTGAATTTAAATATACATCATACCAGTGATGCTGGCAAGGTCGAAGGTTATTTCTAATGTTGACGGCAATAAAACTAACGTGTACATGACAAGACATTAAAAGAAAAGCAATCCCTTTAAAACAAAATTCAACGTAAAAAAAGTTCACAGTGGTTTGTATAAACAGTATGCGATTTCTGACAGTAACAAATTTCTACTCTCACAGCACACTAGTGCCCTCTTTAGATCCTAAAGAAGAAAACAAGCATTTACACTACTCATTGTACAGATCCAGAAAGTCAGTTGTACAATTATTACCCATAATGACAGAAGAGGATGCTGTGGAGTGTACAGCTGTAACACCAACGAAAGGAAAGTTTAAAACTCTTTTCCTGGGAGGGAGAAAAGTCTTTCATTCGCTGTTACAACCAGCAAATGCCATTCATCAAATCAAAAGGAAAACCACAAACACAGTATC